TTATTGTTATTAAATTTAAAAAATAACTTTGCAGAATTAGAAAGCTGAGTTTCTGCTCCACTCTGACAAAATACAATGTCGGATCCTGTCTGAGAGCTGTGATATTCCCTTTGGTTTCGGTGGGAACCTGAGCCAACTGAAGTTTTCTTGTCAAGGTCTTTTGTTTTATTCATTTCCCTGGAATGCCTGAAAAAGGACATAAACAGCTCTCCTGCCACGTGGCTGCCAGGGAGACTCGATGGCGCCTGCAAATTTGAAATGAAAAGCCAACAAAGAAGCCAGAAAAGCAGAGAACAATGCACGTTGACTAAGGGGAAAGTTTATATTGTTGATATCCAGGCCACTGGGTCAGAACAACATCAATAAATATCATGTATAGAAACAGGCTCCAGTAAAGTGACACTGGTTTCTTCTGCTCTGAAGGAGAACCTGTGCTGTCAGCTGCCATTTCAATAGGAGTGTGGGTAGCACAATTCAAGGTGCTACCTTGGATTGTGACAGATCCTTATGAAAACTATTCCATGAATCTCACTTGTTCTCTGCTCTTTGTACACCTGTAAAATGGAGGGTGCTGCTCATGACATCTGCAAACTCTGATCTTCTGCATCTTGTGTATGACCCTGCTGTATGTCGTTGCCCCTGCACTGGGCACTGATGAGGGTGTCCAGAGAAGGGCAACGGAGCTGGGGAAGGGTCTGGAGCACAAGTGTGCTGAGTTCCCGGCTGAGGGAACTGGGGTTGTTGAGCCTGGAGAAAAGGAGGCTGAGGGGACCCCTTCTGGCTCTCTCCACCTCCCTGAAAGGAGGGTGGAGAGGGGTGGGGGTCGGTCTGTTCAACCAAGGAACAAGTGACAGGACAAGAGGAAATGGCCTCAAGTTGCACCAAGGGCAGTTGAGATGGGATGTGAGGAAGAATTTCTTTGCTGAAAGGGTTCTGAGGCATTGGAAGGGGTTGCCCAGGGCAGTGGTGGAGTCCCCATCCCTGGAGGGATTGAAGAGTCGTGTAGACATAGTGCTGAGGGACATGGGTTAGTCAGGGACTTGCCAGTGTTGGGTTAATGGTTGGACTGGATGATCCTAAAGGTCTTTTCCAATTGAGGCAATTCTGGCATTCTGTGTGATTCCTCAGCTATTTTCTATATAGAAAAGGCAGGCTGGAGTTTGGTTCTTTCTGCTGCTTAAAATGCTGGATAAAACTAAGGTAACACCATTTCATAGGGGGATTTCTTTGTGTCTTACACCTGCATAGAGCAGCAAGTTTCATCTCAGTATGAAGAGGAATTTTAAAGTTAAATGAAATGTATTTTTTTTTCCAGTGGCAATTTTATAGCAGTAACTTGGAGAAGTCACAGTTCACTTCAGTCCAAGTCAAACCTCTTTCTTGTTTTCCAGCTTGAGGCATCACTCAGAAGTCTCTCCAAGTGGGTTGGTATTGAAAAGTGGCCTTCCCAGTGGCTGGGTAGGGAGGTGAAGTTACCTCTCTCCTTGTTTCTGTGACCTTCTGCCATTGTTCAGGTTCACCCGTGTGCAGCGGTCAAGCTGTGCTCACTGCCTTCCACACTCACCTCTGCCAGGGTCCCCCAAACAGCTGGGCCTGTTCCCATAACCCTATAAATTCAAGAGTGTTCCTTCCTCCCCTGCTCCACGGTTCTGCCATTGTGGGTCTGTGTCCATGCTGCAGCTGACACCTTCCACCATGAAGCTCTTCTCCTCCTTCATGGCTCTTCTCCTCTTCCTCCTCCAGGCTGTTCCAGGTAAGGGGTAAGACCCATGCTGGGGTTTGCCTGTGTAGGAGGTACAGTCTCCAGTGGTGCAGACTCCTCTCTGCTCTTCAGCTCCTTTCATTAGAGCCATTCTCTATTTCTCAGTCTAGAATCAAAAGTGAAAAATGAACCTATGGTGACCAGATGTCAAATCAGAACCTCTTCACTGAAGCCACTACTGAGTGTTGGCTCCTTATGACTCTTTGAAGTGTCTTTATGCCACTTTGTGGCATTATTGGAAGATGGTACCATGGAAATCATCTGCCTCTTCTTACCCCAGGGTCTTAAATTGTCTCCTTTGTGTATGGTAGAAGAGCAGCAGAAGTGTTCCCTTGTACTACTCAAGTTGAACTACACCAGTGAAGTTTACTTAAGCTCTCTGAATATGCTGGTTCCCCTTCCTCAGCCCTTCTGCTGCATTGACTCATCTACTATTTATGCTTTTGGCCAAGTTTTTCTTCTTGCTTAGTGAAATTCCCTACCTTGGAGTAAGTCTTTCAGAGAAGGAAGGAACCAGGCAAACCTCTTGTCCCTGTTAACTGGGCTAAATCCCAACTTTTGATCTATTTTTTTTTTTAAGTCATAGGTACATCTGAGGGCATATGGTCCCTTGGATGACCAGCCTGCAGCATTGCAGTCCTAGAGCTTTGAAGCATCCAAAGTCTGGGCTGTCCCTGCCCACTACAACATGCATGACCACAATATGTTCAGAAAGTTGCCATCAACAGCTACATTTTTCCTCTATTTGTACAAAAGCCTTTCTTGGAGTCCCATGAAGTCCCAAAACTTTTTGAAAAGCTGCCATGGGCTTTGGGGGTGTTTGTATCAGACCCCTAATTGGGGTCCATGGGGTTTCAGC